CTAGGTACCTCCAGAGTGAAAATGATTGCTTGGAACTCCCTACTATCTATGTATGTAAGAGCTACTATTTGTGAAATGCTAGCACAGGCTGAACTTCTCTAATCCAGAACTGTGTCATCCAAAAACATCCGTCATCCAAAATGATTTTAGTTAGCTGGATATCCGCTTTTCACGGGTGTGGCCAAGTTTGTAACCATGCCATAAAGTTTGTTTACAGCCACCAATACTGGCTCTCAGTGTACTGTGCTGTTATTTAGCTCTATTTTGCCCCTAAATGTCCTCTAACAGCAGAGTAAGCAGTGGAAGTGTTGGTAATGATACTAGACAATATTGACCTCCACTGATCCAGAAAATTTTCTTGTTTGGAACCAGCAAGGTTCTGAAGGTTCCTGACTACAGAGGTTCAACCTGTATAGAGCAAGAAAGGACATTTGCAAGCACTAGTAAGTAATGGGAAAGCCTATGAAAACAGCATTGTGTGGTAGATGCTCCTGGTGTAAGTTTTTCCAATATGTCTGGCTTGTTAATAAACCAGGAGGGAAAGATATTGTTTATAGAACTTTACTCTTATATGACGTAGCTGAGGTCTGACCTGGCACATGTAATTAATACATGGGGGGGAGGCCTCATTCTCTGAGAAAATAAGATTAGCGAGGTAAATAAATTATCAGGCTGAAAACACAATATTTGTGCTAAGTAAGAGAAGTAAAGACAAAAAAAAAAGGCTAAAAAGACAAAATACTTGAGACTGTTAAGATAAGAGGGAGAACACCCAGAGGAATATTTGCTATGAACTAGACAACAAGGAACAAAGTAAGTTAGGAATGTAGAGACAAGGTAAAGTGGATGTTGAACCATAGACAGTGGGCACTGCACAGGAACTGGTTCCTCGAGTCCTGCGTAGCTACAAGATTATGTATCTGCATCCATATCCACAAAAATGAACCGTGGATAACCGCATCGACATCCGCAGATGAAGATACCCACAGATGCAAAGGGATATCCACAAATTTGCAGTGTTCTAGATACAAAATTTGTATCCTCATCCATATCCGAAAAAGTGAGCCACAGATATAAAACAGATATATGCAGATTTGCGGAGCTCTACTGGTTCCCGCAAAGAAACCATCCCAATCCAAAACATGGATAATGCAATATATACAATGTATATGAAGAGTGTGTTTATGTAAGTTTGAAGCTGTGATGTACCCTGCATCCTAACTTGCTATGGTTTGATTTTAATCAGCTGAGCATAGCACTGAGACCAATCTCACAATCAATAAGAAACTTCTGAGAACTCACCTATCAGGGAAAGGACCTGTGCTAAAACAATACTAATAATCTTGGTACAGGCATACATGATAATCGATCAGGTTACAAGAGAACCACTCCCCACCTGAGGGTACTTGTAAGTGCAACACAAATTTCAGACATACCCTGTACTGCTTTTTGGGATGAGCTCACATGAGATAGCCATGAGCATTCTCACCAAAGTGCAGTAAAGAGTACAGGTGACTTAAGTGGAGACAGGAAAAATGTAGAACCAGTAACAGGAAAATCAGGAATATTATATTTCTTCTTTGTTCAAGGAAAAAATGGCTGCAGGAAATCTTTTCATTTTCAGCCTCAGATGAATGTGCTATTTTGCAAGGATTTCATTGATTTTTTGTTTAGTTTTTAAAGAAAACTTGTCCAGATGCATTAAACTGTTTAATTACATGTGCTTGGAGTGGATTTTTGGTTATTCCATGCTACCACAGTGTTCTTCTTTGCCTGAATTAAGAAATATTCAGTGAAAGAAAAATCCTTTAATGTCAGAGGATGAAAAAACCTGAACAAATTACACAAACCGGCCAATAGCAAAATATCTTTCAAAAGACTGTGTATGTGGTAAAAAGAATTAGGCTAAAACATCATTTCTGCATAATTTAACAAATGCATTCAATCTCATATATGTAATCATGGGATATGCTTACTGCAAAAGACGTTCTTACTGGTTGCATCTAGACTGGCAAGTTTTTCGGCAAAAGCAATAGCTTTTACGGAAAAACTTGCCAGCGGTCTACACTGGTCGCTTGAATTTCCACAAGAACACTGACGATCTCATGTAAGATTGTCAGTGTTCTTGCAGAAATACTATGCTGCTCCCATTTAGGCAAAAGCCCTCTTGCGCAAATGCTTTTGCGCAAGAGGGCCAGTGTAGACAACGCGATATTGTTTTGCACAAAAAAGCCCCGATCACGAGAATGGCAATCGGGGCTTTCTTGCACAAAACCGCGTCTAGATTGGCACGGACGCTTTTCCGCAAAAAGTGCTTTTGCGGAAAAGCATCCATGCCAATCTAGATGCTTTTTTCCGCAAATGCTTTTAACAGAAAAACTTTTCCATTAAAAGCATTTGCGGAAAATCATGCCAGTCTAGACATATCCACTGTGTGTATCAGTCATAACTTCTGACTTTAGGGATTAAAATATGTCTTCATTGCTTGTTTCCCTCTTTTGAACTGTTAGCAGTACTGATTCTGCAGGACTAAACTTATGTATCAGGATAATTATCAATAGTGTTCTAATCAGTGACACCTGTACACCACCATAAATGGCACAAGTGTCCCTGAGGGATGCACTGAGAAAAATGGGATGGACTGGATACATCAGTTGAAATACAAGATCTGAATAGTTACTTACATTGCATTAGTGGCTAATCCCCCATTGTCCTAGGTACTGCACAAACTCAGGAATAAATAGTCCCATGTTCAAACAGTTTACACCCTAATTTGGCCAACAGCTTTTATTGCTGATCAAGATGCATGAGAAGATGAGAACTATGTGTGATGCCAGACTGAGTCTCCAGATATGATAGTTAGGAAAGTCAATTCTGCTTGTAAATAGAGTAAACCATATGCAAAGTCATTAAGGGTACATATACACAGCAACATTATTTCGAAATAACTAGCATTATTTTCAAATAACTTAGTCTGCATCTTCACAGCAGGAAGTTATTTCGAAATAATGTCAAAATACTGTCAAGCTGAAGGACTTCTTACTCCGACTCCTAGAACTCTCATTGTACGAGGAGTAAGGGAAGTTGGAGGAAGAGTGCCTTATTTCAAAATAAGTGCTGTGTAGATGCTCCCAATTTCAAAACAAGCTATTTCGAAATAAGCTACACAATTGACGTAGTTCAATTTGCGTAGCTTATTTAAAAATAAGCCCTGCTGTGTAGACTTGCCCTAAGAGATAATGAACATGAAACCCACAATGATATTTTTAGTCACTCTTCACAGTACTGTGAAGGTAATGTTTTCAAATCAGAACTGATACAATGCTGTTTTTACAACCCAGACAACTCTACTGCCTGCCTTGGCAACTGCAAGTATACAGAAAGTGAAATTGGCATGACTCTGGTTAGGTCATTGCTACTAAGAGCCCTAGGACATCTGTGAAACTGACAAGAACAGTGTCAATTTCATTCTCCCTGTTTGGAATGGCTGGGGCAGCAACAACAGGTGTAGGCACTGGAGCTATCCCTGGAGGTGGAAAACTTAAAAAAAAAAAAAAAAAAAAACCATGAAAGTTGTAAAAATCCTGCAAAAAAAAAAAAAAAAAAAAAAAAGAAACCATGAAAGTTGTAAAAACTGCCCACACAACTCTTTGCAGGAGGTACTAAGGAAAGCAGAGATGTCCTTCTCCAGGGAAATAGCAACTAGGAAAGGCATAAAGAAGCAAAGACAAACTTTATTTGACCTTCCACATAGTCCTGTTTCAGTGAAGAGTGTAAACCAAATCAATCTTCCTTGCTTCCACACTAGGCTGTAACCTTGTTCAAGAGGCAACATTATATACAAAAAAAATATACACAACCAATGGAACACATCATAACAAACTAGAGGGTTCCAGAAACCATAATTTCTATAGCATCCAATAGAAGTACCTCTGCTCTTATGCATTTGCAAACAGAATTGCCAAATGAAATAGTAACTGACAACCAAAAAGAAAGACAGCAATAGATACTTTCAAGTCTTTTAGCCATTTGCTGCCATATTATCTTAGACTGATCTTCTCCAAGGTCATAAGATAAGCATAACCAAGTCTGGCCAGTTGCTCATATGGGTTACTCACAGGGAAAAAGAAAATCAAGCATGCTACAAAAAACTACACTAGTCATTTAAGCTCCTGAATCAATACCGATTTAGCATTGTCTTAGAAGAACTGTGGTGGCAAGGACTGGTCTCAAGAGAACTTTTAAAGATGAGTCATAAGGATGAAAGCCTGACCACTTGTTGAAGATTCCATCTTTCAAAAATCAGGGATCCCACTTCCATACTATGTTGGGTTTTATTTTGCCTTCCTTACATTTTCCTGCAATGTCAAATGAAAGAATTCTTTCTTTTCTGTTCTAAACTGTTGGGTAGCATCGACCGCTGAGCAGAGTTTAAGAGCAGTTTAAGTCCCTCCCAAAAGGGGCTCTCACACATTCCCATAGCAGGGGATGTGACCCAAGTACACCTGTTTCTCAAAAAGTCTGACAAGCTTCTTCAAATGGAAGGCAGAGAGTGGGCAAGAAGAGATGAATTAAAGCCCAGCGAAAGGGAGGCTACAACCTGGAGACCGTGAGCTTCAGGAGGCAAGACTCGAGTCTGTACCTGCATGTGGCGCAGCAAGAGCAGCAGACCCGGGTGCTCCACGAAAGAGCCCCGCGCGCAGCTGAAACACTTTTCAGCCCACTCCGCTCCTACGCGCCCCGGCCGGATTAGCGGCAATTACAATACATTGATTGCACCGGGCAGCCGCCTCCCAGCTGTCAGCGCCCTGCCCATCCCTCGCTCCGGAGATCAGGCTCAAGCGAGCTCCTAACGCCACTCACCAGCGGCACCCGGCGGAGGGAGGGCCCCCGGCTCCCCAGCCTGCCCTGCGCCCCGCTGCAGCTGGCCGGCCGGCAACGAATCCCCCGCGCGCCGGCCAAGGGGGCGGCGACACCCCCGCTCCGTGCCCCCCACTCACCTTCATGCCGGCGCGCGGGGCGGGTGGAGCGCGGCAGCGCACAGAGCGGGACGCGACAGCTCCGGGGTCCCCGGCGCCTGCTGTCCGATGTAAACACACAGCGGGGAGAGGGGCGGGACAGAGTGCCATAGCAACCCCGACCGGAACCGGAAACGCACCCGCCCGGCAGGCTGCCCGGGGCCGCCATCTTGGTGGGCTGTAGAATTGGCGCGGTGCTTCGAACACTTGTGTCTCGCGCAGCTTCTTCCACGCACTGGCCCCTGGGCGGCCCCTTGCCGGCGCGTGGGCCCCGCCCCTGCTGGGAGTGACCAGCCCCCCCCCCAAGTCCTTCCCCCTCTCTCATGGCACCTTTGGGGATGCGCCTCCCGCTCATCAGCCACCGCTTCTCTTGGCCCCTTCTGTTCTGGGGCACATCAGCTTCCCGTCCTTCCCCTCCCCGCGGCGAGGGAGCATGTCTGGTGCGGGGTGGTGCAGGGGGATTTGCATTAAGGGCACTGGAGGTAGCTGGCACTGAAGTGTGTCCCTCAGCAACCGTCCCTGGCCCTCTGCCTTCCTGTCCAGCTGCCTCTGTCGCTCAGCAATAACAACAGGATGTAGGATCTTTCTGAGTCGCAGTGGGAGCCTCTCGAATTCGTGGCTACATGCTCCTCCGGGCCAGTGGGGTTTTGAGAGGTGCTATCCCACAGAAGTTGGGCATGGTAAACTGTGTTTTACTCTTGGCAATAGGTACGCCTTAGGCAGTCCCTTTTCAAAGTATTTCACAAACTTTAAGTACAGACAGTTTGCCACACTGCATCATACCAATGGACCATCTAGCCTGGTATCCTGTATTCTATTTTGGTTTAGGGATTTGGCTGGAATTAGTGAGCAGACAAAGGGGGAGATTGGGAAAGCAATAGGGTAGTGGGGAGGTGCGGGACATAGGCGGAGTATGGGTAGGGCCACAGGCTGGGGCGCTTGCTTCCCCAAGCAGCATGTGGACACCGAACAAAAACATAGCTCTGTGCTGGCCCACTAGCCAATAAGTAGTGACGTACAAATCTGTTTTAGGCCCATGCCTCAGAACACAATGTATTGGTTTATAGAAAACTGTAAACTCCAAAACAAAGCAATGTCTGTCCAACAAGGGCTGCATTCCACTAGGACTTTCCTCTTGTCTCTCTGACACTGGAATGAGGATATACTCTTCCCTTAAATCCCTGTGATAATCAGGGAGGCTTTTCTGGTTCTTTTACCCTATCACAAGTTCCTACATTAACAAGTTTACACTTATTGGCCCAGATCCTACAAATCTGTGATTAACTTTGTCAAGCCCATGTGAATAATTCTGGTGACATTAACAGTATCTCTTACCTACCTAGGATTTCTCATAGTTTTAGCTTAGTGGCTAGAAAGAAATAAGCCCCATATGTTTCCAATTTTGTTAACTAAACAAATAAAAAAAACACCTCTTCAAACGAACTAAATACAAATAAAATAAATTTTCTCATAGTTCACCAGCAGAGCACAATGGCTGCTCAGTGTTGCTCCTGGCCTCCTGCCAGACTTCTCTACTTAAGGGAGGATTTTGTGGCAATCTCTCCCAGGCCCACTGATGGAGAATTGGGAGGAGGCAAAAGGGTGCAATTTCCCAGAGGTCTGGGCATTTTAAAGGGCCCAGCGCTCTTGCGCTGCCATGACAGTGGCTGAGGCTGGGAGTCTTGGCCCGTTTAAATCGTTCGCGTGGCTGCAGGGTTCCTAGGCACATGCAGGGTGTTACCAGCTTGGTGAAAGCAGCCAAGTGGGCATGTGGAAGCCCTGGTCATGCCACAAGAGCACACCCAGCAGCATGGACCAGAAGCAGTTTGCCACCAGACACTTTGCTTAGCTGCACATCCACTAGTACAGCTGCTTGCAACTTCCACTGACCGCACTTTGCTGTTCCAGACCAATCATAGAATATTAGGACTGGAAGGGACCTCGAGAAGTCATTGAGTCCAGTGCCCTGCCCTCATGGCAGGACCAAATACTGTCTAGACCAACCCTGAGAGACATTTATCTAACCTACTCTTAAATATCTCCAGAGATGGGGATTCCACAACCTCCCTGGGCAATTTATTCCAGTGTTTGACTACTCTGACAGTTAGGAACTTTTTCCTAATGTCCAACTTAAACCTCCCTTGCTGCAGTTTAAGCCCATTGCTTCTTGTTCTATCCCCAGAGGCCAAGATGAACAAGTTTTCTCCCTCCTCCTTATGACACCCTTTTAGATACCTGAAAACTGCTATCATGTCCCCCCCTCAATCTTCTCTTTTCTAAACTAAACAAACCCAATTCCTTCAGCCTTCCCTCATAGCCTAATGTCCAACTTAAACCTCCCTTGCTGCAGTTTAAGCCCATTGCTTCTTGTTCTATCCCCAGAGGCCAAGATGAACAAGTTTTCTCCCTCCTCCTTATGACACCCTTTTAGATACCTGAAAACTGCTATCATGTCCCCCCCTCAATCTTCTCTTTTCTAAACTAAACAAACCCAATTCCTTCAGCCTTCCCTCATAGGACATGTTCTCTAGACCTTTAATCATTCATGTTGCTCTTCTCTGGACCCTCTCCAATTTCTCCATATCTTTCTTGAAATGCGGTGCCCAGAAGTGGACACAATACTCCAACTGAGGCCTAACCAGCGGAGAGTAGAGCGGAAGAATGACTTTTCGTGTCTTGCTCACAACACACCTGTTAATGCATCCCAGAATCATGTTTGCTTTTTTTGCAACAGCATTACACTGCTGACTCATATTCAGCTTGTGGTCCACTATAACCCCTAGATCTCTTTCTGCAGTACTCCTTTCTAGACAGTCGCTTTCCATTCTGTATGTATGAAACTGATTGTTCCTTCCTAAGTGGAGCACTTTGCATTTGTCTTTATTAAACTTCATCCTGTTTACCTCAGATCATTTCTCCAATTTGTCCTGATCAGCG